ATAATCTGCCTGGGGAAATAGTAGCTAGATTCTCAAAGCGACATGTGAGGGATTCTGTCCTGAAAGCAACTACAGAAACACCCTTGAAAATCGGGGACAATATCATCAGGATTCTAAAAGACATTCCATTTGAAATAAGACAAAAGAGAAAGAAATATAAAGACTTAATCCTTTTTCTACAAAGAGCATTGTCTACTGATGGTTAATTCCAGAAGGCGTCATTTTCAAACTACATTATAGTCCATTGAAGTCCCTGCCCTCTCCAAGTGCCGCCCTCTTCAGGCTCCACCCCCAAAATCTCCAAGTATTCCCCAACCTGGAGCAGGGAACCCTACGTTGGGTCCAGTGCAAAACTTCTGCTTGCACTAGAGCTTTTCAACAAGTGTAATCACAATGACAGGACTGCAGCAACCGCCAGACTTATTGTATCTTGGGTCAACCTTCAGGTGTCACTTGGAGATCTTTGGCCATTACAGTTGATCTCCAGATGACCAAGATAAGTTCCTGTAGAGAAAATGACTTCTTTGGAGGGTAGATCCTATGGCATTATACCCTTCAGAGGTCCACACCCAAAACCTCCAGGTATTTCCCAAATCAGAACTAGCAACGCTAATTGTATCCCTTCTTGTGTTTCTGCTTAGGCGATATAAAATATAAGTTAAGTGTTAAGTATACAAACAGAACTGCACAAAGTTCATTTATGTACCATTTGTGCAGTTCTGGATCCAAGCTTTGATTTCAGGGCCGTAGACAGGATTTTTTTGGGGAGAAGGCTGCTGGGGCGCTGGGGGTAATTAAATTAAATTTAGTTTAAGGGGCCACCACGAAAATGCCCAGAGGAATGGGCTACATACTTGCAATCTTATGTTCAGTCAGCAGGAAACCACAGCCTTGCTGTTGCAGAGGAGAGGCATGAGCCAAGTGGCTGCCATTGGAAGTGAAAGGCAAAGGGCCTCTCCTGGGTTGAACATCGATCCTCAGTCTTGGCAGCTGCTGTTGGCCCGGGAGAGCTCCCTCCCACAGGAGCCTGGCTGCTCCGGTGCCACAGCTGCTGCCATCTGTGCTTTGCTGCCCTAGCCTGGGTGCCTGGGGTCTGTACTATATGTGCACATGAGTTCAGCACCCTCTTCTCCACATGGCCAGATCCCAGCACACTGAGCTTGGGAGAATCTCATTGCAGCCGGTCCCGGGGTAAAGCGGTGGCGTGGCTTTATGGAAAACATTGGGTGGGGCACTCGGGAAGATTGGGTGGGGCACTACAAATTCACTAGGGGGCACTGCCTGCTGCACCCCTTGCTGGCTATGGACCTGCTTGACTTTGGTTTTCCTTTTTCTTTAATATCAATCTACACTGATGGCTGTGTTGTTGGTAATATGTACTTGATTATCAGATGTATTTACAGACATTTTTTAATCATTCCTTACCAGTAATCCTGTGAGGAAGGTTCTTGAAGAAGAAGAAAAAAACAGGCCAATAAAAGACATTTAGAAGGAAAAGCCTCCTACTTTATCGCTGAAATATCTAAAACAAAAAACACCTAGGTGAGTGATGTCTTCTTTGTTTCAGTAAGTGGCTTATTCTTTCATAGCAAGGCTTGCTTTTCTTTGCTTAGTAGTTTTAGCATTAATAAATTTTTTTTAGGATTGCCAACCCCCCAATGGGGGTGGGTTTTCCCCCAATCCTGGGGCCCCAAATCCACCACCAGCCAGCTGGGAGGTGGGGGGAACCTCACCCCCGATCAGCCTTACGGCCCCCAATATGCCTGGTATGATGACATCATCCAGAGGTGACATTATTGTGCCAGGTATGTTGCATAGAGTTTTTAGCTGAATGTCAGAGCATCCCCTATAGAATGTGCCCCGTGTGATGATGTCACTTCTGGGTGATGTCATCGTGGCACACATACCACACGTGCCAGAAGACCTTAGAGGGAAGGCCAGGATCCCCCTGCCAGCAGAGAGGTAAGGCCTGGCAACCCTAGTTTTTTTACCAATGTAGACAGAACTTATGTTTGGCTAATGGACTTGAAGTTCCTGGTTCCCTACTTAACCACTGGAGATGCGCTGGCTACCTTCCAATCCTCTGGAAAAGAAGCTAATTTTAGTAATATAGCCCAACATCCTTTATTTCCAAGAATTCCCCCTAAACTGAACATTATATGACACCAAATTTCTTTATAGATTTAAGCATATAATTAAATTATAGGGCTCATGAAAATCTCAAGAGGCTCCTAGTTAACAAAATTATCTTTCATAGTACAGTCATCTATGGAGGATAATGAAGAATTAATTGTTTCAGATAACTGTAGATTAACAAATCCAGAATGGTATACAGAGAAAATGTGTTACAAAACAGGCCCAAAAGAGACAATAACAGAACACCACTAGTGGTCACATACAGCTATCAACTCAAAAGAGTTCAGTGCATCATCAGTGACTTAACAGCCTCTACTGGATAAGTACTAAGGGACAAACCTTTTCTGGCACACAGACAGCCCCCCAATCTCAAATAACTCCTCACCAACAATAATACAACATTCAATTTGAACATGGACACTCGTACCAGAGCTTGTAATAAACCCAGATGCCAACTTTGCTGCCGTATACACTCAGACGACACAATTACTGGACCTAACAACATCAGCTACACCATCTCAAGCTTATTCAATTGCTCATCTTCTGACATTATATATGCCATTAAATGCCAACAGTGCCCTTTAGTTCTCTACATAGGTGTCAGGATCCACAGCAAGACAACGAAGTACACGCTTCTAGGAAGGTTTTACTTTTATTGAAAAGCTATAGATGCAGTAACATGAACACTGTTAGGAATGGCGGGTTACCTATGTGCATAATAGGATATAGGGCATTTGTATGCACACACACCCCACGTAGTGCCCAATTAGAAGCGCTCCCGCGCGCGGGCCTTTGCCAGATTTCTAACGGCTGCAGAAGCGGGGAACGTAAGAAGCTTCCCAGGAAACCTAGACACATCAACACCTCCAGTGGCCTTGAGAGATATGCGTTACAGCAAAGAAGCAGTTAAGCGCATGGGAAGGAATGCACAGCAATTAGAAACGTACAGCACCCTCATGGCAGCATAGCTGACAATAGGGCAAACAGGTCAAACCCTATGCTAAAGGATTAATGGACACAAATCTGACATCAAAAAACACTAAACTGAGAAAACTGTAGGAGAACATTTCAACCTCCTAGGGCACTCAGTGGGGTACCTCAGAGTAGCTGTTTTATTGCAAAGGAATTTCAGAAACAAATTTGAATGGGAGATTGCTGAATAACAAGTTATTACATCATTCAGAACAATGGAACCCCCGGGGCTTAACAGAGATATCAGGTTCCTATCTCACTACACATGCTAAGTCACTCAGTTCTCAGTTGTACACAGAATTAAATTTTGTTGGTCTTAAAGGTGCCACTAGACTCAACCTTAGTTCTCATGTCTGTTGTTATTAGATAGGTAGAACATTTATTGTATATGGCCATAGGCCTTCACAATGTGAAATCATTTATAATAAAATATACTTACAAATCTAACAGTAAAATATATCAAAATAATATATATTGTCTAAGATTTAGTCAGCTTTAAAATCTGATAATTTTTACCAAACTAACTAGCAGCAGCTGTATCAGTTGATACCTTCCTAGTTGCTACATTTGGTCCTATTTTCCTGGCAGCTAGGGCAAAAAGTGCCATCCTGTTGAAAATGAAAGAATCTGTTTCTGACAACATAGAGATTAGCAGAATTCGAAAGAGGATGGAGACTAGACAGTATATTGGCGAGAAATCTTTCCCTTGGTTCCGAGTATAATGGACAATTTAAAACGTAATGTGGCAGGTACTCAATTGAGGTTCCACAGATACATGTACGCTGATCTACAGGGTTGTGGGTTTTTTTGGAATCGTCTGAGCAGCATCTCAGTTGTCATTGACTGAAAATGTAATGATGAGAATGCTACCCTGAGCTTATAAATTGTAATTTCAGTCAAATAACGCACTATAAGACGATCTTTTTTGATGGTTTTGTACCATGGAGCAAATTTTGATGTACTAATTAAAAATTTGTCTTTACTCTAATTATCTGTACGTCATCCACAGGTCTTACCATATGTGTTATTCCAATCTGTGCTGTATTTATTGCTCAGTTACTTATGCATCTTGACTCTAATTAGCCTTTCCTGGCAACTAAACTTTGAGGAAGTTTTTTTCAGTGTAGCTGAAGGAGTATGCATCTACACATGCTAAGTCTCTCATTTCTCACACCCAGAATTGAACTTTGTTGGTCTTGGAGGTGCCACTGGACTCAAACTTGTATTTGTATGCTAGTTTACTGCTATTCACAGATCTTACCACCTGCCTTAATCCAATCTCAGCTATAATCACCCAGTTACTTATGCATCTTGACTCTAACTAGACCTTCCTGGCAACTACCCCCCCCCCCCACTCTCTCTACCTATATACAGTGGCTGAAGAAGTTTTGTTTTGCCGTATCTGAAGAAGTGCACATGTACTTAAAACTTTATACCTTGAATAAAACTTTGTTGGTCTTAAAGGTACCACTGGACTCAGACTTTGTTCTGTAGGATACTCAGGCTAAGTGCCTGTCCACAAGTTAATAACTCAAGAGGCTTTTTAAAAGGAGTCCCCCCCCCCCCGAAGGGGAATTGGCATGTGGGTCTGGAATAGATTAAAAAAAGAGATTTATTTCATCTGAAGCTCAAATGCATATTTCTAGGCTAATTTTTACCTATTTGCCTTTGGAAACATTCATATAGTTTATTTTCTTCACTTTATAAAATTCACAGTTACAATTGTCAGAAATTCCACTGTGCACAAAACTTTTGGGTTAATTCAAATATAGTCATACTATAAAATATAAACACAACTGAATATCATTTTCTAAAAGTACTCTGATCTGTGCATTAAAGTGTTTGTTTATGTCTTATGAAGATAAAAGCATTTTCTCTTTAAAATCTTTTAGGATTCACTTGCAAAGCACTGTTGAGCCACACAGGATCGCATCCACTTCTACATGGAGACATCAAACAAGCACTTGCCAATGTATGTCCGAAGTTAATTGAATTGTTAGAGAAATCATCATGGGAGGAGCTGTGAGCGCAGGAGAAGACAATGATGATTTAATTGATAACTTGAAAGAAGCACAATATATTCGCACGGAGAGAGTGGAGCAAGCCTTCAGAGCTATCGATCGTGGTGATTACTATCTGGAAGGATATAGGGACAATGCTTATAAAGATTTGGCTTGGAAGCATGGGAATATACATTTATCAGCACCTTGCATTTATTCCGAAGTAATGGAAGCTCTGAAACTTCAGCCAGGATTGTCTTTCCTTAATCTGGGTAGTGGAACTGGCTATTTAAGCACTATGGTGGGATTGATATTAGGTAATTACATTTTTTTAATTATTCTTAATCATTATGATAGACACAATCTTGGTAACCATAATTTTACAAACATGCACTCATGAAACTCTCGTTCACTTTAGCACGGTCTTAATAAGTGTTAAATTTAAATTGTTCTCAAAATGTCTCAGATTTAAACAGCATCTCCAGCTGTTCAGAAAGTAATAGACCAAATTACACTCTATGTCTGCCCTCGGTATTTCAAAATATAAAATAGTCATGTTTATAAGAAGAAGAGTTGGCTTTTATATCCTGCTTTTCTCTACCTTAAGGGGTCTCAAAGCAGTTTACAATCTCCTTCCCTTCCTCTCACCACAACAGACACCCTGTGAGGTAGGTGAGACTGAGAGAGTTATGGGAGAACTGTGACTGGCCCCAAGGTCACCCAATAGGCTTCATGTGGAGGAATGGGAAATCCAACCCAGTTCTCCAGTTCGGAAGCCACTGCTCTTAACCACTACACACACTGGCTCTCATGGATAAGAATCCAAATTATACAGCAAAATATAGCATGATTATTAAAATCTTAAATGGGTTAGCGATTTGGGATTAAAAATACACTGTATATTATTCCTCATGATAAACAAATTTGACAGCTAACTCCTCCATTATGGGAAGCTGCAGTTTTTGTGAGTGGAATAGGGTGGGGTTTTTTGTATTAACAGTGTTCAGCACAGCACAGGCCTGGGCACATTTTCTGTATGGCATGCAGATTCATTAATCCAGCAAATCTGATATTGTCAATACCACCTTCTTAAAACACTAAAAGAATGAAAGCTCGCTTCAGAGGCCCCTATTAAAGCAAGTTGTTTCAGAATACTCTAAACAGCTGTGCTGAAAGAGATTATGAACCATTCATGTGTTAATAGCCTTTCCGAACAGTTTTTACCAAAAGGAAAATTCCTAAATGTATTTTCACTAAACATGATTTTCTCAGTGACTCAGCTGTTTTATTTTCTTTTGTTTTATAAGGCACTTAGGGCCACTTCATACAAGACATTATCTTCTTCCCGCACTGTCCCATATGGATGACAGAGCTATACACTGATTGATACAGTCACAGCAATAGCTGGTAAAGTTTTGTGGAAATTGCAGCTCCCTATAGCTCTCTGCAGCCTGGTTCATTGTTCCATTTCTCCCTACTGTTGTGGACATCTACATAATAGCAGATGAGTGAGACAAAAAATGGAAAACGTAATGTGTAAGCTAGCCAATAATTATACTATTTGTAAAGGAAGAATAAAGCCAGATCTTTGTGCTCTCTGTGCATCACAACCATGGGAAACAAGGGGCCTGTGCTGGCTCCGACTGGTAAATTTTGCAATCTCAGTAGGGATTTTCACACCCCCTGTGTGCTGTGTAGGAACTCCCACCACGCATGCTCACAGGGGTGGGGCACGGACATCCTGCCAGTTCTCTTCTGACCACCACGCTGATCAGTTGATGCTTTGCTTCGGTCTGTTGAACCTTCCTTCATTGGATTTTTCAGGTTTTTCTTCAGCTCAGTACTCTCATCTTCATCTTTCTTCTTCATTCTGCAAAAACAAACAAAAAAGAGGACTTTAGTTTCGGACTTTCTGCCCTCCTCTCCCTCCCCCCTCTCCATGTGGGGATTTTTAAAGAGGTGTACTTCGTGTGGGAGCAAGCTCATGCCCCAAGACGGTCACTCCCTCTGTCTGCTCTGCCTTGGGGAAGCCCACCACCCTTAATCCTGTGTTCACTGTGCCAAATTTTCCAAGCAAACTCATAAAAACTGGGCTGTGAGACTTCAGGCAGCGCTTCTGGAAGCTGCCTTGGACCCCACCAAGATAGCGGCAACTGCGTCCACACAACAAGAGACCTCCAAGCCATCAACCAAGTTAACCAGGCACACTCCACCCACAGGGCAGGCCTCTCAAGCCTCTAAAAGAGCCCTCTCCGATACTGGCCCTTTGACATCAAAGAGGTCAGGGTCAGCTTTGAAATCGGCATCGTCTACCTCTGCAAAGAAGATGAAGAATAGATTGGATTTATACCCCACCTTTTGTTACCCAAAGGAGTCTCAGAGCAGCTTACAATCTTCCTTTCTCCTCTCCACAACAGACACCCTGTGAGGTAGGTGGGTCTGAGAAGAACTCTTTTGAGAACTGCTCTTGAGAGAACAGCTCTGAGAGAACTTGTGACTGACCCAAGGTCACACCAGCAGCTGCATGTGGAGGAGTGGGGAATCAATCCCGGTTCTCCCAGATTAGAGTCTGCGCTCTTAACCACTACACCAAACTGGCAGGGAGGACAGGAGCCAATTGAAGGACAATCTGGAGGCTCTCAGCAGAGGTCACAGAGCCCCAAACACAGCTCTATGACCCACATTGCCTTATTGCAGCCTCTGACATCGGATCCAACTCAAATTTAGCTGATCCCTCCGTTGAAGTTATTGGACTCGCCCACCCATCAGATGAACTCCCCAGTGCCAAAATCCCAAGCCGCACCATTGCACATCCAACAACTCCTCCATTGGAGTCTGATGTAGATGAAATTGACCTAACCCAGTGAAGCTCATAATCGTCGCACTCCAGGTCATTTAGCTATGGAAGCTCCACACTGAACTTGGTTGGGCATGATCGATGCCATCACCAACCCAATCTCCACATGAGTGATCACAGCACCAAAACCCATCTTTGGGTTTCCCCTCATTGGCACCAAAGCCATTTGCTACACAGAGAAACAACCATTCCCTTCCAAGTGCCTGTTGGAGCCTATCCCTTCCCTTCCACTCTCCCATGGCTTAACCCAGAGACGCTCCCAATTTGGATGAGAGATCAGAATACTCCCACCCGTCCCGCTCGCCCAGCAGACACCCATCAATACCAATGCCCACAACCACCCAACCCTCAGCATCGACAGGCTGCCCATCCAAACACTACATGCCCTCATGCAAGGGAACATTGGAACAGCTGAGGGAGACTTCAGCATCCATACTGATACTGCCCTGGCCACCATTGCCTCCAGCTCAGAGGGAGGAGATGTGCATGTATCCTAAATACCTGCGGTCTCTGACACCGATGAATCAGACAGTGGGGTCAGACAGTTGGATAGGGATGGCTCTGACCACCATGCATGTCATACCAACCCTTCTCTGATACTGCAAGTTACTGACGATCTCCCGAACTCCCCATTAGAGGATCTGAAGTCTTATGGTGAACTTGTCAAGAAAATGGTGCACATACTTAACCTATCCATCGTGCAAACTTAACCCATAGTGACCAACGCCATCTTCAGTATTGTTCAACTCGACACATCCACAGCCGTTGCTCTCCCTGTGACTATGATGATGCTAGATGCATCCAAAACTCCCTGGGTCAAACCATCAACTCCAGTATCCTCCAGGTGGCTGGACCACATGTACAAGGTCCAAGAGACGAGTGCCCAAATCACTGGTCGTGACTGCCTTGTCAAAGAGCAAACACACTCACTCAACCCCACTTGATAGGAAAAGCAAGCAGCTGGATGCCTTTAGGTGAAAGCTTTACACTATAGGAGTGCAAGGGTTCAAGAACTCCAACTACTTGGCCTGCACGGGTTGTTACCAATATGCCCTTTGGGAGCAATTCTCAAAGCTCCTCGCCAAACTCTCAGATAATCAGTGCACGGCTGTGCAGAAACTGCCAAAGGAGGACATTCTTCTTGCTAAATGACAAATAAGCTCCTTGAAACATGCCCTAGACACCTTTTCAAAGATGATCACTTCTGCCATTGCCCTGAGGAGACACTTGTGGCTCTGCACCCACCCTCCAGACCGACACGTTCCTACATTGATGACCTGCCCTTCGATGGAGAGGGCCTCTTCCACTCCATGACAGACACTGTCCTCCAGGAATTGTACAAAAGCATTAAAGCCTTCAGGAACCTAGGTATTATGGCACTATTACACACCTATAAGAGCATATCTTGGCCAAAACGCCAATATAGTAAAGTAATCTCCTGACCAGGCCTGGTGTAACCACACTAACCTTCACAGCGACCACCCTACCTGCCTAAAACAAAGTTTCCTGGCAAACAACAGTCTTCCAGAAGCAAGGGCACTAAGCCCTTCAAACAGGGCCTTTGACTCCTATACCCCTACCCCACCTCTCATATCTTGACCATTACACACCTCAGACACCTGCCTGCACTCCTTCCTTCCAGCCTGGAGGTGAATCACCTTGGACCAGTGGGTCCCCTCGGTCATTTCACAGGGCTACATGATAGAATTTGTCCAGACACCCCCATGCTAGCATTTGTCTCAACCTCTGCATCCAACTTGCTGAAGGAAGAAGTGCAAACACTTCTGGACAAATAGGCCATAGAGAGGGTACTGCCACACTCCTTGGGGCATGGGGTCTACTCCTGGTACTTTACTTTTTCCAAGAAGGATGCCAGCATCAGGCCCATAATGGACTTGAGGGCCCTGAACGAGTTCATCGCCTACCACAAGTTCAAGATGATTTCACTGCAAAACATCCTGCCCCTTCTCAAGGAAGGGGCATGGATGGCCACACTGGACCTCAAGGACACTTCCATCTGAACATTGTACCCCACCATAGGCAGTACCTTTGATTCACCACCTACCCAGATCCAGACAGAGGAGGACTTCTTGCAATCTTTAGTTTTCTCCTCTCATGGATGAAAGCATGAGTCACTCCTTGCTTTGGGTCTACCTGGCTGCCATCTCAGCACATCACCAAAGGTGTCCCCACCTGGACACCAAATGCTTTCTAAAGGGACTCGTGCACATGTACCTTCTTGTTAAGCATCTGATGCTTGCCTGGGACTTACCTCTGGTCCTACAGATGCTGGCAGAAAAACCCCTTGAACCAGTGGCAACAGGTAACCCGCAGTTGCTCACAAGGAAAACAGCCTTTTTAATGGCCAAGTGCATGGGCAGACTTCTAGCTCTCAGGCATGACTTGCCATATCTACATTTTCACCAGGATGGGATCTCCTTGGTACCTGACATGAACTTTCTCCCAAAAGTGATGTCAGAGTTTCATTTACACAACAACATTACTTTGCCAACCTTCTACACAAGACCTGCAAACAACAGAGAGGAGGCTCCACTCTCTGGATGTCAAATGAACCCTGTTGTGCTACCTAAATAGGATGAGGCCAGACTGCAAGGATCCTCATCTCTTCATCTCTTACGCCTCAAACAACAGGGGCCACAAGATATCAGTGCAGAGGTTATCCAAATGGATTGTTGGCGTGATCAAACTGTACTACCTGCTAGCCAAGTGACCCCTCCCTGGGCTGGTGAGGGCACACTCCACAAGAGCAATGGGTACATCCACCACCTTTCTGAGAGTGGTACCGTTACAAGACATTTGCAAAGCAGCGCATGGGTGACCCCTAGCACCTTCATAAAACAATGTGCCCTAGACATCTGTTCACAGCAGCAGGCACTGGTGGGATGATCCATCTTGCTATCCACATGTGACTGAGTAGCTGCCAGCACCCTCCTCCAGGTAAGCCAGAGCTTGCTACTCTCCCATGGGTGCGATGCACAGAGACCACAAAGAAAATAAACGGATTGCTTACCTGTAACTGATGACCTTTGAGTGGTTATCTGTGCATTCATACTGCCCACCCATCCTTCCCCTTTGCTGCCAGCCTTCTGGATATAGAATTTGGGGTTTGCACAGTAGTCAGAAGGAACTGGCAGGATGTCCATGCCCCACCCCGTGTGTATGTGTGGTGAGAGTTCCTGCACAGCACACGGAAAGAAAGTGAAATCCCCTGCTGAACTTGCAAAGATTACTGGTTGGGGCCAGTGCAGGCGCCGTGTTTCCCATGGGTGTGAATGCACAGATGACCACTCGAAGATAATCAGTTACAGATAAGCAACCTGTTTTCTCACCTCTCTCCCTGCCCCTTTTTTTGCAAGCATTTTATGATAAAATTTCTATAAAAACACTGCCTTCACAAAGGTATCTAAAGCATTTTTACCTTCCTAAATGAAATTATAACCTCTTCCTGATTCCACACACATTGCAGTTTTGGGATTGACATCTCTTATCTTCCCCCCCCCCCCGCCGCCCCAGCTTGTGCCTTTGGTTATTAGACTCCGGTGCAATCCTGTCCCTGCTTGGTTCTGCCTTTGCTGTAGTCTCAAACTTTTCCTTTCTGTGTGTCTCCGCCCTTTTCAATTCATTGCTCATCCTGAGTCCACTGGATGACTTGTTAACTTCCTTCTCTCTAGCCCTTCTGTGTGTAGAATAAATCCCACACCCTTAGTTCCTAGTGTTCCTAGGCATGGAAACACTTCTATCAGTGTTGCCTACAGGTCTGTCTTGTAGTGCATATTTAGTATTGCTTAATGGTCACTCCAGGTTTCTTACATAATAGGCAAAGTAACTATTGGTTCAGTGAGTCTTACATTTCTACTGATTCTTGATTTACAGGCCCTTTTGGAATAAATCATGGAATAGAACTTCATCCAGATGTGGTAGAATATGCAAAGGAAAAACTGGAGAGCTTCATAAAATATAGTGATAGTTTTGATAAGTAAGTATATTCTCTGCTCAGTTCATTTTGTGTCTATAATATGTTCTTTTAGTGGACGTAAATCTGGGACCCTCAACTTATTTGTGGATACTGTTTGTGGGCATGCGGGGGAGGGGATGAGGCAAAGAAGCACAGGGTTGCTGGTCATTTGGAGGTTGTGCGGCTGTGGGGGCCTTGGGCCTGCCCCTTTACCGGGTCAACCAATTTGGACTGGCTTGCGGTGGGTGGGGCTATGGGTCCCTGCAGGGATTTAAAGGGCTGCTCGGGCCGCCTGATCTTCACTTGGCTGCATGACGTTTTTCCCTCCTATTCGTCCCTTGATATATTCTGTGTTGTAACATGTCATTGGGCAATGTTTTCTGTTCATTTTCAATTGACACAACTTTGGTGGCAGTATCACTATGTGGGTGGATCCATTTTCAGGGAAACTGGCCTGCATGCCTGTTTCTCTGCTTCAAGGGATCCTCTTAAGGGATTTTGGCATGAAGGTGGGACCACACAGTGGTGGTTGTTCATGACATCCAGTGGTTCTCCCTCACCACAGGTGGGCTGGGGCGGGCTGGAGTTTATTGATTGGCAGGTGGGTCAGTCAATGCCTGGATCCGTTTTGCTCAATGCTGTTCCAAGGCTTCTTACAGCTGTAACCAATAAAAGCTGTGGCCAATTTTAGCCAAAAAACTGTTTGTATGTGTCGTCTGTTATAGTTATGAAGTAGGGACTTCTTGACTCTCTGTTCTCTTCCCCCCTTCAACACTGGGCCAGCAAACATGTACAGGATTTTAAAACTTTCATGTTTATTATTGAAATAGCTATGCAAATTTTGTTTTAGCATTTTAAGAGTTTTCATGATAATGAATTGTGTGTATCACTAAGGTTTGAATTGTATATATTCCATTGGAATGAGTGGATGTCATACAGCAGTTGCATTATCATTACTTTTGGCCTGTCTTTAATGATATTATGTCCTGTTATGACATAAATATGTACCATATCCATGTTGTGTCTGGGGATGTTTCAGCCCCCCTTTCCCTGCCAGACTTTGTCCAGTGCATCTAGCTGCATAGCACAGAGTACTGACTGGATCATCCCTTCTTATTAGAAGGTAAAAGCTGGAGTATTGGGTTTACAATGAAATAACTGCTGAGTTTCAGAGTCAATTACATGTTTTGACTGTCTAGTTAAAACATGTAGCTAGGAATAAGGCTCGTTGTGGAAATAAATACAACGAACTCTAGAAAGAGGCTCTGGGAGAGTGGCCCGGCCTTGGACACTCAGCGTCAATGTGCTGTGGCAACCTCAGCAGGGTATGATGACATAGTGTCCACCATTTTCTCCAGGGGAACTGATCTCTGCCATCTGAAGAGCAGTTGTAATTCTGCGTGATCTCCATCCCTCCCCTGGAGACTGGCAACAGTGGTTCCCCATGAGGGAATGGCTGGTTTGGAGGGTGGAGTCTATGGCATTGTACCTGTCTGAGTTCCCACCTCTCCTCAAACATCACCCTCTCTAGGCTCCACCCCTCAAATCTCCAGGAATTTCCCAACCTGGAGTTGGCCACCCTGCCTCCTTCCCAGCCAACCACCTACTGTTATCTGCCCCCTGTCTTCAGCTTTCCATCTCCTCCCCTCCCTACTAGAGAGCAGTTGTAATTCTGAGTGATCTCCAGCCCCCACCTGGAGATGGGCAACAGTGGTTCCCTATGAGGGAATGGCTGGCTTAAAGGCTGGAGTCTATGGCATTGTACCTGTCTGAGGTCCCACCCCTCCTCAAACCTCACCCTCTCCAGGCTGCATCCCTCAAATCTCCTGGAATTTCCCACCTGGAGTTGGCAACCTTATCTGGACTGGCCCAAATGAGTTTTCTCCCAAAGGCCAAAATAGGTGTGGAAAGGGCCTTTTACTGACAGAACCTGGTTGCCTAGCAACAGGCACTGAGGAGAAAGTACATTTGGCAGCTCTGTTTAGGGAAATACCTGGAGATTTGGGGGGTGGATCCTGTGGAGGACAGCATTGGGGGAGGGATGGAAGGACCCAGCAGCAGATAATGCCATAGGGTCTACCCTCCAAAGCAGCCATTTTCTCCAGGTGAACTGATCTCTGTCATCTGGAGATCAATTGTAACAGTGGGAGATCTCCAGGTCCCATCTGGAGATTGGCAACCCTAGGGGAAAGTCAGCCACACAACGGGGTTGAAGAGAATGGTTTGATGGTCGCTGGCCCACCTCATTAGCCAGCCAGCCATGGTGGAGCCAAAAAGGAGAGAAAGCCATTTTATGTTTATTCCGACAGGAAAGTGGCCAAGCTGGCAGTGGGCAGGGGAGGGGGTTATGCTGAAAGTTCTTTGTTTTTTTTACTGACAGAAGCAGGCTTGGTTGCCTACCAATAGCCACTGAGGAGATAGTTAGTCACAGTTAGTCCCACACAGGAGCCAAGAGAAGTGTCTTCCTCAGCAGATAGTCCGGCTTTCCAGGAGCTGCAGCTCGTTTCCTCTAGGCCAGACCTTCCCTGGCGCTGGCGCTGCTGCTGAAGTAAGGGGGGGGGGCCTTTGAAAGGTGCTGGGCAGCCTTCTCTGCGGTGCAGCCCGCTGAGCTATTACCCTGATGAAGCGCCGGCCTTGCAGCCGAGGGAGAGGAGCCATGAGGGGCAGCGAAGGTGAGAAGGTGAGTGCTTCCCCTGCTTGATGCCGCTCGCTAGGTCTGCCTCCTCCTCCCCCGTGGAGGGGTTGCCACTCTCTCGGTGGAGCGTCCATCCCCTTCGCCAGCTCCCTCCAGACTGAGGGCAAGATGCTGGCTGCCAGCTCTGTGGGCGGGGCTGAGGCAATGCAGCGAGGCAATGCAGCCAGGGGATTGGCAGACCTTCAGAGTGGCAGCTGAGGGAGCGAACATTCACACCAAAACAGAATTACTATATAGAGAGATAAGCAATAGAATCTGTGTTTCTTTTGCTATCTTCAGCTTTTTTTATTTGTTAATATTGAAAATGAAAAGGCCTACATTTTAAAATTCAGATCTTATTAATTAGACTGAAGCTATTTCAAAACAGCATATCAATATATATTTCAAGTATGTGATAATTGCTGGTTTCTACTTGGATTATATTTATATCTTCCTACAGCCTCACCTACCTCACAAGTTCAATGTTTATATGTAGCCAAGGGATAGGATTCACTACACACACCAATGACAATACTAGTATTTGTATGCTTTCTAAAGCACCTAAAATCTACTGCTTCTGCTGCAAGCTATATGATTAATTCTGTTTGCTTGGGGTCATTCTGTTAGCATACTATTCCTGAGATTGAAATATACTGTTCATTCACACAATTTATCTCATTTCCTGCCATACTGAAACTGTAGCAGCAGAATTTGCATTGTTCTTAGTACTCTCATTGAATATAATGGAATTACTCTGAAATGCTTAATATTTTGGGTCATCTTTAATTAAAATCAATCAAAAGAAGGGTAACTATGTTCAGATTTCAGACTTCTAAAAGCAGAACATACCTACTCCAGAGCAAAGATTATTTGCCCTTCTTAATGGAAAAATTATTTTAGAACAAGGTATGAGATTGCAGAGAAACACATACGTGTGTTTTGGTTTTAGGTTTTTTGTTTTTCCTTTCTTTTTTTAAAAAAATCCTTCTTTTCAGTTTTGAATGAAATTTACTGTGCAATCCTAAGAAGAGTTTTATCCTAAATTGGGTTTAAAAGGGTGAGATTCTGTGAGATTCTGCACTGGTTATATTATAGTGAAGTAGACTCAGTTTATGTTTAAGTTGAAGATATTTTTGATATCCAGAAATTTTCATCATTCATCTGAACTCTCATTCAACTGGGTTGGATCCTAAGCACTGTGACCATAGCAGTGCTTGTAGAGCATAACTTGCCCTGTTGGTGGAACTTGTGCTTTTCAAAATGCAGCCAGTGTTTGGTAGGTCCTCAAAGATGCTGTGGGTACAATATGAGGGTCCACAGTCAAAATGGGGAATGGACAGAAATCCTTTCCCCTCACATGTTGAACAGGAATTAAAATTCAAACCATTATCATTACAAGAGTAGAAGAAGGGTAAGAATTATGTAGAAAAATTTTATACCCCTAAAAGGCATGAATTTCATGGAGTATTAGTATGCTAAAGACAACTTACAAACTTACTGTGATAGACATATTATCAACAATAAAACAAGTATAAAAAGTGCAATTAGTAATAAAAAATCAAGCCAACAGCCATTAAAAGCCTGATGAAAGAAAATAGTCTGCACTGACTTAATGGAAATTAAGAGAGTCAGGTAGACATTTCTAGAATGAAAAGTCTATAAAGATGAAGTACTATTACAAAAAAGACCTTGCACTATGCAGTGACATCACAGTAATGCATACTAGCTTTTTCCAAGGCCGGTATGATGCTTTCCATGCCCCTGTCAACCAGAAATGAGTACAGCTAGAAAGCCAGCTGAAGCTGGTAGAAAGCCTTCCTGGCTATGGTTGCCATGTGGCCGTGGCTCATCCAAAAGTATTTTGAAATTGCAAATCTGCACTTTTAAAAGATACGTACCTCCATATAATATTTGGCATGAATTGTTTTCTAAAGGCATCATGAATCTATTTCTAGCATATGACAAGCATTGTCTCTAACATAATGACACCAAACCAAAATGTTCACAAGACAATACAATTTGCATATAACTTTCAATTATTCGAATACTGTTTTGTAAAGGAAACACAATTTCCAGTGCTGATAGGCTGTACCTTTAATGAAAAACTTATACAGCCATATCAGTCCACACAAACATCCAAAACCAAGAACAAATCTATTCAGTACCTTTTTTAAAGACTTGCCAGATTGGCCCTAAAAAGGATTTTGTTCTTATACCCAGAATGGGCACCCCTTGAAATACTAAAAAATACCCAGGATGTTTAAATATTCCTGCACGTTTTTGTTCTTTTAAATTACACTATTTAATGCCGATATTTCTTAACAGTCCCTGCCCCCTGATTTTGAAC